GTGATGATGAATTTGTCAGGACGTATGCATTTGTGTTGAATTTATAGCTCAATTTAACCCAGGTTAATGTCGAAAAGCCTCAAATGTTTCAAATAAGGCCCAGATGGTTATCACTTTACAAAGCATACAGGCTCTGTGCTTCGATTGCAACCTACACATCTCCAGCTAAATTCCATGCCAGATCAATTAGAAACAGTCCCCCTGAGCAGACAGGGACAAACAGGGATTGTCTCCCCAAGGCCAGCTGAACCCTTGTCTTGAAGAAATGAAAAGCAGTCACCTTAGGCTCAACACTTCTTACCCTTAAAAATCCAAAGGAAATTTGGAAAACAATAAGGGTTTCTATAAAGCATGTCATATTTTGTAAAAAATACTTGAGAGTCTCGGCATTTAATAGGTGCTTACTGCGAATTTTCCCATATTTCAGTAAGTGCTACGTCTCACTGCACAAGAGGAAAACAAAATTTTATCCCTCTGCCTTTTCCCGTTATTTTTGTCTGTCCTTCAAATTATGGCTCTGAGAGAAGTCAACCAAGTTCAGAGGTAAGTTGATGTGGCTTGGTGTCATGAGTAGAAGTTTTAAACTCCAAGCCATTTAAAAACTGATAGGCAGAAATGAATAAATACAGTGTTTTCAAAGTCAATTTCATTTGTGACCGATCCTTTAAAAAAAAAAAAAACCCAGGAAGTAAGAATGACTGAATTTAATGAAAATATTTTATTCATGTATTTACTCATTCATTCAACCACTATTTAGTGAGCATCTTCTATGTGGCAACCCTTTTTTGCTGGACCCTGTGGCTTCAAGGTGGAATAAGTGCCAGCTATAATGCTCCAGGAGCTCTCAGCTATTGGGAAAGGCCCATTAAAGCAAACTAACAAACAAAGGACCAGTGCCGTCATTTATTACATGTAGAAAATATGGCGGGAGCACTTCTAAGGGAGGGGAAATGCTAAGGGAAGCATTTCTATCATTAATAGGTGCTTTAATAAGAAGGTGTTCCAAAGACTGAAAGTACAGGACATCCCAGATGAAGGGAGGAGAAAATAGGGCACTTCTAGAAAATCAGCACATATTCCATGGGTCTGACACTGAATTATAGTCACGTAGTGACTAGTTTTTTAATCCTATGTTTACAAGTCAACTTACAGACTGGATCCTAAACTATCTAAAGGACATTGTGTTATTAGCAAAATTGTCATGTTTCACTAATTTATGATAAACCTTGCCAACAGCTAATGCCTACCTTATATATACTATATATTTCTACCTTAAATACACTATATACTATATACCTTACTGACTTACTAACAGTCATTTCTAGAAAATATGAGATTTTTAAAAGGCACTCCCTCCCTGAGAGCTATGATGAAGGCTGCGTTGTATCGTGTGGAATAATAGTGTGGCAAGTTTGAAACACATATATGGAGTTAAACCACAATTGAAAATGCCACATGTGGAAAAGATGCCGCTGTTTAAAATCCTTCAGGGGAGCGGGTCTTTATGAGGTTTAAGCAAAACCAAGTCAGCAGTTGGATTGTGCCCCACAACTGTGTTTTCACCAAAGGTCAGAGCCACACGGAGGCTCGGTTTACACAGCAAAACACAAGCTAATGTACTGGAAAAGTATGGTCCCATTTAGAGGTTGGTTTGTCTGATCACCAGTTGACTTCGTGGCTCCTAAATGCCTGTGCATTGAGAGAGGGCTATCTTGCTTTAATTCAGGTAAAGTACATTCCCCACTACAAACAGTCCTTTAATCTTATGACTTTGTCAGTGATGAAATTAGAATATTTGTTTTACCGTTTCCATCAATCTAACAGCCCAGGGAAATAACTTACTTATTTTTGCAAGGGGAAAAAAACCCCAAAAAACAAAACACCCAAATACTTGATAATAACTTTAGAGCTACTTGAGAGACTGCTGTGGAAAAGTCGAGTTCTAGTGCTGTAAATTGTTCCAGTTTATTGCTTGCTCCATGCAAGGTGATATGTTTAACCACCACACTCCAAGTGCCTGGAACTGGAGTTTTCCTCTGTGACTTGAGCCTCTGTTTTAAGCTGCCCATCACTTGTTGGCAGTTGACGGGTAACCTCCTTTTGGAAATATACAGATTAGTGGCTTTCCTCGTTTTTTCAAGGGCTGAGCTGGAAGGTCTGAGTGCCTGAGCTCCCCCCCTACTCATCCCCGCCCCCCCCACACACACACATCAGTCATTTCTCCCTTCCTCATCAGCACCTGAAGCCCCTTTTGTGGAAAAGGTTGTAGCCCTTGTTACACACACACACACACACACACACACACACACAGCCCCCACCCAGTGCACAGTCAGGCCACACTTTCCTGTTTGCTAGAGTAGATGTAATAAGTCCTAAAAATATCTGTGAAGTCCAGCAGTATCCAAGAGCCTCCTTGGAGACCCTCCTACCTGCCTAGCCCCAGGGTTCCCCTTCTGCACACCTGAAAGCCCCATGTGTCAAGAGGAAAAGGCTGCGGAGACCAGTTGCTCCCCGCTGGAGGGAGGCGAGCACAGCTGCCACCCAGCACCTTCAGCTGGATCTTTAGGACTGGAAGAGAAAACTGACAGCCCCCAAAACGACAGCGTCCAGGGATGGCGCTCGCAATGATGACTAAAATAGACTTCAGGATGGGAGTTACACTGAGGAGGGGGGTTAAGAGAGCAGCAGAACAGCTGTTGTTGGCCCTGCCTCAGCAGCAGGATAAGAGCCTTTCTCTCTCTCTCTCTCCCCACCCCAGTCCTGCCGGCAGTCAGGTCCTTTCTAACCCAAAGTGAGTCCGGAGGTTCAGCCCATTCTCTTCCTCCTCCCCAGCACTTTTTAGAGGCTTCTTGCAATGGCCACAGGTGTGCATTTCCTAGAGTGGGGGTGGGGGCTTCGAGGGGAGCTCTGCAACATTTTTTTTTTTTGAGAACTGCGTATTAGTGTGACAAGGGGGTCCCTACGGGAACACGATGCCGCCAGCTCGGTCCCATTATCCCATTCGCAACCAGCTGCGTTAACATGGCAAAGGCACCAGCGGAGGCCGGCAGAGTTTGCAGTGAACAGCCAGAGGTTTGGGAAACAGATAGCGACGTCTTGTATTTCTTCTCCCACCCAGGGCACTGCGTGAGCGCTCTCCACCATCTCTGCCCTCCCATGACAGCGGCTCAGCAAGGCACAAAGCCTGATGGTCACTTAGCAAGCTGCCTCTCTGCTTTCCAGGGATGCATTTGGAGAAAGAGTATGCTATAGTTTGGCACTATACAACATCAGCTTTTCCTAATAGCCTCAAATGATGGAACTTCTTTGTTAGAGAGGGGTTAGAAAAAATAACCGTGAAGACCCAAACTTAATGCATAAACTGGATTGTGGGCTGCGCCTTACACATGCAGTTGGTGAGGAGGTCACTTGTGCGCCTTGTCCACAGCGATGCTTTGCATAAAGTGCACAGGGTCGTAATAATGAGTTCTGCGGTATTTTGTCTGTATTGCATCCAATTAGTGTGAATGTTCAGCATCACATACTGAAAAACTTTGAATATCATGTAACAACGAGCTGGGCTACAGACAGGCTCCAAGATTTATTACCATTTCTAAATTTTATGAGTCCTATTGTTTCCTAAGCGTATTACCAGCGTTAGCTATAATGAGGGTTCTAGGGAAAAAAAAGAGCTGAAAAGAAGAAACATGCCACCCGCCTCACCCCAACTCCCACCTGTTCTACCAGCAATTTAGCTCTTCTGTGTGGCCTCTTTAGGAGCTGTTTTCTCTTTTTCGCGTATTCCTAGATAGCAAGACACAGAAGAGCGAGGAAGAGTGTTACTTTGACACTTAGAAAAGTTTTAAACAATGTTTCAGTGTTTTCAAATGTTTTTGTGGGAACTGGACCACAAAAGTGATTTATGAAACACCCTTCGAATTTCCTTACCATTAGGTCAGGGATGCTAATTCTAAGTAGTTTGGGTGATTGTCATGGAACCTGGGGAATGCCTTCATAATAGACAAGTTTTCTTAAAATGAGAATGGCGAGAATGAGGGAGACATAATAATCTGCCCCCACCGCCTTATTGTTTCAGGTGTGAAAACACCTGGCAGGAAGGAGACCCATCCACCCCGGGGCGACTCTAGCTTCCGGCAGCAAGGGTGTGTGTGTGTGGTGCTTGGCGTCACTGTCTTCCCCGGAGCGGTACTTAAAGCTTCCCTGTGCGCTGGATCACTTAAGCAACTTCGGGAACTCAGGCTGTGGACCTGAGCACGCGAATTCAAGTTCAAGTTCAGGGATTCCTCGGGTCCATTCTACCCCAAACCTTGGAGAAAGTCTATCCTAAAGGCTCAGGCTTTCCTAGGAGGCATTATTTTTGTTCTCCAAGCGCTTCGTCTCTTTCTTGTTCTGCACCTAGTTACAAACGTAAGCGTATTTCCTTCCGGCCCGAGTCAGGTTCTGTGTAGGTTGGCGGAATCTCCTGCTGTGAACTTGAGAATGGGAGGTGGAATAAAAAGGCTCAGAGCCCACGAGCCCTTCTGCCACGCTGCCAAGGACAGGTCTGCGGCGCCCCGGGCAGCTGGGTACACTGATTATCAGCTACCCCAGGGGGATACGCTCCAGCGCCCCTAAAGAAGCCACCTCCTGCGCTAGTCCTTCTCAAGCCCGCGCGTACGCCGCACCCTGCCCAGCCGCCGCCAGGTCTTGGAACGGAAAGGTGCCTGGCAGGTTGGAGAGGGTCGAAGAGACTGAGAGCAGCTCCGCGAAGGTCGCGCGGTGTTGGGTGTTCCAACATTTAGGGGCAGCCAAAACTTCGAGCTACGCCTTCGGGCATGCCTCACGCCAGGGGGCCTGGGGCTGCGGAGCAGGGAGCCGGAGTTTCGGAGGTAACTTAAATGTGCAGAAATTGACAGTGTCTTGTGCAGAGCAGTAAACTTTATTTCCTCCCCCAGCATAAGTCAAGGCAGGTGTTCGATTGCTAATCTGAAGGAAACGGGAGGGAAGGGGAGGATGAGGGCGGGGACACTTGAGAGGACTCCAGATTCCGTCCCCTGGCCAGTGCGCGCTTGTTGGAGGTCCTGGTGCTTGAACCCGAGAGCGGACACTTGTTCTACGACAGTGCCGAAGTGGGCTTGTAAGAAAGTCTGAGTGTTTTGAGTTCCCTTCCCCTTTCGAAGGTCATTTGTGCTTTTGAGTCTCGGAGGAGAGGACACTCTGGAAGGGAAGGCCAAGGTCCTTTTCCGAGGTTGTGTAAAGGACGGGCCGCCTACCGGGGGTGGAAATCCTTAATTACACCCTTGGGCCTCAGAATCCATCTTCCCGGCAGTGTCTTGCACTCCCACCTCCTCGGGGGCCTCAGCTGACCTGGAATGCCCACACTATGGAAGATGAAGAAAAAGTAGTTTTCTAAGAAGGTTAGAGGCTTGATTACACACACAAGCGTTTCCACTTAGGTCCAAAGCAATTACCCGCCCCCTCCCCCACCTCCTCCTCCCCGCCACCCGGAGAAGAAAAGGACAGACCCCCTTGCACGTACCCGCGCACTTTGTTGGTGCGTGTGAATTTCAAATGGCGCTGGAAGTTCATTAGTGTTTGCAATCAGCGGCGGGCAGACCCCTCATCAGAGCCGAAAGCCGGCAAGAGCCATTCATCAGCGTGAAGTGTTATTCATGGATGACCCCTAAATCACGGCCAGAGTAGTAGATGCACTGATTGGTCACAGCATGGGAGCCTCGGTGCCTTCCCTGTACCGACGCGGCCGGAGGGGGGAGGGAGGGAGGGGCAGCGAACGTGGTTCAGTCCGGCAAATCCCATCTGACAGAAAAAGGCAGTCAAGGCGGAATCGCTTTTTTTGAATAAAGGAGAGGAAATAAAGTACCTGTCATCTTGACGAGCGGCGGCGTGGAGGACACACGGATTATAAATGATCACAGCGCGGTCCAGCTCGCCCTGGGATTGGGCTCTCCCGCGATCCGCACTGGGGGAAGCGCATGGTAGGCTCCTCGGCTCTCTCCCACACTCACACACACGGACACGTGTACGCGCCTGGTCTCGGGCACACTCGGCCCCGGCGCGTCCCCCGGTCACACGATTAAGGTCCTGGATGCTGCTTCCTGGCACAGCGCCCTGCTCTCCGCCTCACCTTTCCCTCTTCCTCCTCCCTCTCCGCCTCCACCCTCCCGCCCCCCCGGCCCGAGAACCGAAAACTCCAGCCGGGCCTTAGCAGCCAAGGAGGAGGCTGGAGGGGCCGGCGAGAACAGAGAGGGGGAGAGCGCGGGGGAGAAAAAGAAAGTGAACTCATTGGCGCTCGGCGCGCGCTGCCCTCCCCGAGACCGGGCGGTGGGCAGGGAAGGAAGTTGTAACACTTGCTGTTCTCTCCCCCCTCCCTGTATCCTCCCCCGGTCTCCCCCACTCCGCTCCCTGCGCTGGGCCCCCTCCCCCTTGCGCCCGGCTCCTTTGAATTTGGCCAAGTGGTGTTGTGTGCGCGCGCTGCTCCGGTGGACGCGGCAGCGGCGGCGGCCGGGTAGCAAGCGGGCAGCGCGGGCGAGCAGAGTGCGGTAAGTGCGGTGCCGCCGCCGGCGCGCCGTCCTTCCTTTCTGTGGTCCTAGTGCCCCGGCTGCGGCACCGGAGAGGGAGGGTGGGCGGGCCGGAGGAGCCTCGGATGGCGGCGCGTTTCTCTCAGCTGCTCTGGGAGGCAGCAGCAAGTTGGCCAGCCCTGGTGCATCTCTTCAGCGCGCAGCCTCCCGGGGTCTGGCCTCCCAGTTCCCGGCCTCCGTGTCCCCGCCCCTCCCACGCGTCTGACACTTCTGGCTGCCTGCTCAGGTGGGAACTTCGCCGGGGCCTCTCGCCCGAGGAGCTGGGCACCGCGCCCTGGTTCCCACCCGTCTCCCGGGTTCCCCGAGAAAAGGCAGCTCAGAGGCTGGGCGCTCAGTGGGGGGGGGGCAGGGAGCCCAGCCTCTCTTGTTCTGATCTGAGTGATCCCCAGTTTTGCAGTGGGGAACCACGTCCTCTGAAGGTGTCTCACAAGATCCTGCGGGGCAGCCAGCGAGCGGGAAGCCCTGGGACGCCACCACTTTCCCGGGGAAAGTGGAGACGAGGTTTCTCTAACTACCGGGGCGCCAAGTTGGGAAGGAGTGAAGGAAGGAGAGCGAGGGTTTGGGGTGGTTTGTGGACGGGTGGATCCCGACTGAAACTTGATCTGGAAACTCGGGATGGGGCTGGAAACAAACAAATATCCCGAACTGGGTGGGCTTTTAAAAAAATTACAGATTTAAGAGTCTGCAACTCGTTCGAAATCTGTATCGTGTTTTACAACGGATTAGGAGCTTCAAACATTTTACATTGAAATGGGTTAGGTCTGATCTCTGCTGAACACTCACCTTAGTGGTAATGGTGACCTGCTACTAATTCTGATTGCAGAGAAAGTGTCCAAGTAATTCTACTGTGTAATGCAGCAAATACATTTGTTCTTTTGAAGGCATTACAATCTAAAAGCAGAGAAAAGTTTCCAGGTACTTTGGGGTAACAGCAAGGGAACTTAAAGTGTGAGAACTGTCCAAGCACTTTTTGCATGGCCCCAGTCAGCTGGGATACAAGAGAATGGGACTGTCTCTTCATAATACTCTATTTCTTATCTTCTGACAAGGTATTTGTCAAACATTTGTAGGCTCTGGCATCATCCACTGGGTGGTCTTTTCACTAGAAATATAAATATGTTCAGGCATTACCTTTCCTTTCTGTTGTCATAAGCAAAAAAAAAAAAAAAAAAAAAAAAAAAAAGACAGCTGGCACTTTGGAAAGCTTAGAACAGTACCCCAAAGGTGGCATTGCAGCTGAACAGAACTTGGTGATTTGATTCTTTTAATGAATTTGTGTAAAGTACGATGCACACATCTCCACCTTTGCCTCCCAACTGCCTACCTGGAGAAGTATTTGTAGTCTTTCTAGCATCTTAGGAACAGAATTTAGAACTAAGAGTAACTGTATAAAATTCATTATGGATTTTAATGTTTTGGTTGAAACAAAAGATTTTATAAATACACCAACAATCTTGGTCTGTACATTCCTTGATACATTCTTTAATGCTTAAAATTTCTAGCCTGTATTTCTTAAAATATGAAATTCTTGTAAGAGCCTTGAAACTTTCGATTTGTGATTCTAAATGCAGAGCAAATATTTAATTCTTGCTCTACAAGTGAGAGGTTAGTTCAGTAATAAGACTTGCTAATCCCACTTTAAAATGTCATGGCATTCACAAATTATTCCTAAATTCTTCAAAGATAGGGGTTTATAATGAGTTTCATTATTCTATTGTGTGTTTCAGGATTGTATCTCTCTTCCTGTTGCATTTTCTTAAAAATCTTGCCTTTTTTTCTTACATGAGTTTTAATATTTCTCTTACTCAAAGGTATGATTTTTTTCTTAGTAGAAAATACATTTTATTTTAGATATTTTTAAAAAGAATACATATTATAAGAAAAAGTAGTTCCTTTGAGTAAAACAGATATATTTTACATATGCTACACAATTTGTATTGAAAATGTATTTATATACTGATAACTGTGCCAGTGCTTATACATTTGGAAAATATATTAGTATCTTCTGCCAGTCGCATTAATGTTAGCAGAGAACATTGACCCTATAGAGGATTGCTTGATTATTTAAAATAAAAAAGATAAGTTTAGAGTACAACAGTGACTAGCTATTTTTTCCAAATTGAATCATTTTGCATGATTCATTTTGCATGATGGCTGTGTTTATTTTCTAGAAAGAAATGTTTGGGGTAAATTATAGAGGCTTTCTTACTATGATCTTGTAGGCGTGCCATAAGTCTTGGGTTAGAAAAGGGAACCTGCTTTATTAGGGTGAAGACAAAGAAAGATGAGGATGCTTATCTTTGAATAGAAGAAAGCACCTAAATAGAGTGAAAAGTTTTAAATTTATTCGGAAAGAAAAGCTAGCTACACAATAATAATCCAGTTATCAAGTTGAAGCTAGTCTTTCTTCGCTTCGCTTCTGTGAGCCAAGAGTAATTATTCTCTTTGTAAAGAGTCAAGCAATAAGAAACCAAGCAAAAGTGTATGGCTGTTATTGCGAGTGGAATCACTTATCAGACATTCTTGATCAACTTTGAGCTTGATGTACAAAAAAAATGATGTTTTTGCAATAGCTGTGAAAGAGTGTTTGGAAATGCTGAAGTTTATCCTACCTAGAATGGTCCTGGAAAATAAGTGCAGAAAACGGCCATACGCTGATATAAAACCACAGTACAGACAACTTTATTCGTTTATTAATGTTGATTATTTTAATAAATGCATGACCTCTTTTCTATTAAACTTTATTTCACCCTTTAAAAATTTGATTTCTGGGTGGCTGAGGAATGTCATCAAGGTATTATAGTTACATGAACCAATGTATTCAGCAGCATTCATGAATTGTCTGCCCTTTTCTTGAAGATGTGATGTAGAAACCTGTTAAGTATGTTCAGTCGCATGTTACTTATCTACGCTGTGTTTCATTTGATAGTCAAATATCCATTTTGACTTTCAGAACACACTTTCTACACTTAGATTGAGAGTATCAGCTTATAATACAGCAATTTGCTATCAAACTTTTACTCTGACTCACAACAAATTATACATCCCTTGGAATCTTCAGTGAGAGTCAGTGTTCATATTTGTTTTATTATGTGGAATGATATAGTTTCAGAGAAGCATTTAACATGCATTCAGAATAGAGACATGTACTGAAAAGGTGGTACAATGATGCAAGGCTACTTAAAAGTTGCAACAACTAAGTCTTAAAAAGTATATGACACAAGCTTCTTTTAGGACACATTTAAAACCTGATTTTGGAGATATCAGCTGTTTTAAGAGTCCTGATGGAAATTTTGTGCAAAAAAAAAAAAAACTTGTTAGTTTCAAAACTGATTAATTGTTGTGTCTTATAAAAGCTGATTTATTTCATACTTTTTTATACCGAGCATTACTGTTATGAAGCTCTCTTTCTAATTGAGATTAATGTTTCTGAGCAAAGAAGTGGTTTGGAGGGCTGCATTCATTTTGAGTGCTGTTGTAATCAATTTTAGATACAGCATTCCACAATGGATCAGTTTGCATCCAAACCTGCCTTATTATGTAGAATTAACTCATTGGTGATTGATAGTAATACTTCTACATCTTAAAAAGGCATTCCTTTCCAAACAAGTGTGATGGTTTGTATGAGTTCCAAAATATTGCTTCTCCTAAGTAAAACATCTTTTGGGGGACTTCATTTGAACTTTCTCTAAGAATTATATAAAGCATGAGGAAGCAATTCATTAATACATTTTCAATTAAAATAGCCTTTTCCCCCAAATATAATATGCCTCAAGGTGTATTTTCTTGCTCTTCAAAGGGTTTTATGGTTTCTGAGCCATAAGCCATACACATACATCTAGGTGGTTTTTTTTTTCCTTTTTGTTTTTTTTTTTGTTGTTGTTGATAAGCAACATTTTAGTTGAGTTTTTCAAGGATTTCTTAGACTTATAGTTCTGCATCTTGTGCATGCATTATAACTATTTCACAAGGTGGTAGGTATAATCCTGACAATGAAAGGTAATGCATGTGGGAGCAATTCTTTATCCTCTTTGGAAACCTGGAAAGATGGTGAATGTTGTTGTCCCTGTGATATTTGCTCATGTTTCTTAGTTATGTCTAGTCGGCCTCAGCTTTATCAGCTTTTTATTCTCTTCTGAAACACCACGGACATTAAAATTTCCTTTGGCTTTGGTCCATATCGCATTGCTTCCTGTGATATATGTTTATAGACTCAATAAAATAAAATATTAAAAGCATAGAATATAAGATTAATATAGATAAATATTATAATATAGCCATGGTGTATAGGATTTTTAAATAAGGATGTAACTGCTTTATAGAACATATAAAGTCCCTACAGTGACATTGTTCTTTGCTTTCGGAGGGGAAAAAAAAACTTGGTAGGCTTTATGTTTATTATATTTTAATTTTCTTCTCTGTAATGACAGATTATTTCCATTGAATTAGTGTTTTTCCAGTTAGAAACATTCATTTAAAACAGTTTTAAACGCTAAAATAATATACTTAAAATGCCAGTTTTTAAAGCATTAATTTAGCCAACCATTAAAATATAAGCTATCAAAATATAAACA